GTAAGAACTTAGTATTGATTAGCTATGCTCAATAAAATCAATTTTAGAAATTTCCCTAAATAGGAGTAAAAACTATTTGAAATTCCAAAATAGGAGTATCATGTTTTTTATTCCTTGAATATGAGTAAATTTTTGCCAAGTTTAGAAAAAAATGTCATGTTTAAAAGCCTAGTAATGCCAAACTTGGCAGAAATTTACTCCTATTGAGGGAATAAAAAACATGATACTCCTATTCAGGGAATAAAAAACATGATACTCCTATTTTGGAATTTCAAAACGTTTTTACTTCTATTTAGGGAATTCTCTCAATTAATTTCATATAATTAAGCCTGATCTGCCAGAAATCTGATTACCCCGGAATCAATCCCTGTTCCCTTCGTCATTAATTATGTTAAAAAGAACCCAACCTTTTATTTTAATCGCTCATTCGCTTTAGTTTAATTTCAATTAAACCAACCAATCTCGCACGACGCATTTATTTTATTTATTTTTAATCGCTGAATTTAGTTAATCTTTAATTCCCTTTTGTCCGTTCCTGTGGAGACGATACTCGTACTTACACAACTATATTACGATCTATTTTAAGTGCGAGAATACTCACATCACGCCGCGTTCTGATTTCAGGGTTGATGTTGGACCTCGCCGGTGCTTCACGGGGGAAGATGACCGGATTGCCTATTGGGTTGTCTGAAATGACCGCACTTGGTTCTGCTTAAACGAGGATGTTTTTGTTTGAGATCTGGACGGTTATCTGAACTGACCGCGCTTGGTTCGGTTTTGGTTCGTATGATGGGATTTCGACGGTTGCCACCATCGGAGACCACAGTGCGTCCCCTAGAAAGTAGATTGGACGGTCTTCGATTTTCGGCCAAGAGTCTCTGTTTGACGCCGACCTATTCTTGGCCAGTTGTTGGTGTTCTCCGGCTTTGTGCTATTTTGGAGGATAGCTACGTCGATAGCCTCATTGGAAGCTTGGGGATGGATTATTTTTATTTGGGCTCAAGTTACATGTCTATTAAAGCAATTTACATTTCCATTTGATTCAGGTTACATTTAAACTAACCCAATTTACATTATTTATTTAGCTTGAATTATATTTCTATTAACACAATTTACATTTTTAGTTTTCTCAAGTTACATTTTACATGCCCCCAATTTACATTTCAATATGCTTAAAGTTGCATTTTGCAACGCTCGGTTTATATTTTAAATATGAAAAGTGATAGAACTACTAGAGGGGTAACATGAATTACATTTCAGGCACAAGTTACATTTGTCATTAACTAAAGTTACATTTATCGCTAACTGAAGTTACATATCAATATAAGGGATTTACATCACGAAAATAATTGAAAAAAATCAACATTTATTGTTCATCCTCGTTTTTTGTTTAATTATTAAGTCAAATTACACTTGTGAGAGTATGATCCTCACGGTGGGCTGCTCCCCAGAGGCGGACCGTAGTACAGACCCAGGGGGGCTACCGCCCCCCAACAAGATTTTTTTTAGTGTGTATATATGTGAAAAATAATTTTCTTCCTCCCAAAAAATATTTTGAACCCTCCAAAAGTATTTTCACCCCCATGATGACTTTCCTAGGTCCACCCCTGTTGCTCTCATGATATACGAACTCTTCATTAATCAAGAAACTCAGCACCTCGAACTGCCAAAGGTTTATATAATTAGCAAACATAATTACGAGCTTCTTAAATTTGGATGACAAAATCGAGCGAAGCAAAACTCTTGCTACATATACACACGCGCGCGCTACATTGCATATATGCTTCCAATAAAGCATATCCGTGCTTTCTGGCTAATTGGTGTGAGCGACGGCCGAATATAATGGGCTAGTACAAGAATCAAGACGGCAAATAAAAAGAATATGATTGTTGTTTTAGTAATATGAATACTTTGAGAATTTATGATGGGAATATATAAGAATTAGGAATAAAAAATATAATGGATTTTATAATAATGCGTTCAATACAATTGTTTTAGAAGAGCAATAGTATCATTAGTATGGTTCGTCTCCCCGTTCTCTTCGATGATTACAACCATATATATATATATATATATATATATATATATATATATATATATATATATATATATATATATATATATATATATATATATATATATATATATATATATATATATATGTATATAGAATTATCATTGATGCTCTCAAGTCAGAATCAGTTGAACTAACCAACGCCATCATCTCTATTTTTTACTTCCCATTCTTTCAGCTCAAATCCCATATTTGTTGAACTAGTTAGGCTTATCTTTACCAAATACCATCTTCATGATGTTATCCATCCAACTCATGCTACTTGATGAAGGACAATAATACCCTTTATTTAATTCATGTCCCAACCATTGCCCCCTTTCGAGAAGTTGGCCGGGGCGTAGGGGTGCACACGTTAATCCGTTAAACAACAACTTTTCGAAATTTTGAAAGAACTTAAACTTGTCATCGTTGATCATTGCACTTATAGACTCGTCACTTGTTTGACGAGACATGTCGTGCACTCGTATGACGAGACATATCATCATCATGTCACTCGTATGACGAGACGCTTCCGTCAACCTGTCCTTCGTCTGACTAGACGCTTCTATCAACCTGTCACTCGTCCGACGAGACACTTTTATCAACTCGTCAAATCTTCAGGTAAGACGCTTCCGTCAACTTGGAATTGTCACTTTCCTTGAAAGTAGTTTTTGATCGAATTTGTCTCTTTGACTGAAGCGAAGAAGAACAAAGGCTGATCTCTTATCATCTTCCTCCATATTTGTGCTAATGATAATAACTAGGCAATGCTGACGAGTTAAAACTTCGTCCAGGTTGATGTCGACACTTCAGTTGGCAATGGAAACTTCATCCATTGCTAATGATGACGAGTCGGGTTACATCAATGTAATCGAAATAATCTTGCAAAAACTTTGAATATTGTTTCGTTTATGGTTTTAGTAATATCGTCGACATGAATATTTATGATCTATGTCAATGTCATTCGTATTGTCTCCTTATGTTTTGAAACATTTGTTGTCATGCTTTTGGAGCACATGCTTCTGTTGTGTATTTCTATAGTTCTGACCAAAACATTGCAGAGAATCGGTGGTGTTTATACTCATGTTTAGCGTACATGAAAACTCCACTTCTTCTCCTAAGATTCTGTAAGCCCCTTGTCAATTGTGCTTTGACGCTTTTGTAAGGATTTGCTTGATATATGTTAGGATTCTGTAATCATCAATTGTTGATTGTTCCTAGGTAAAAAAGAATTCGCTAACGTCGGCCGTTGGCTAGAAGCCAACGACACTCCGATGCTTAAGTTAATGATCGTTTATAGATAAATGAAAGTAAAAAATTAAAAGTATGTATACAAAACTAGAAAAATATTTATCATCAGAACCTGTCTATTATCAGATGACATGCTCCCTGTATGACGATTTCGGTCATAACGTCTGGTTTACCTCGTCACATGAGTGACAACACTTGCCGAATGTTTCGAGAGTCAAGAGGGAAGCAATGTATGCACTATGCACTATGTAATGTGCATTAATGCATCAAAGGAGACTCACATTCGAGTTGTGACAACTTTGATTGCTAATAAAAGAGTGATTTACCTAAATAAGACTAAAACTTGTCAAAAATGCAAAAGTAGGACCATTATTTTTCCGTTTAATTCGATACGACTGAAAATAGAATGAAATCGCAAAAATGCCCATGATTTACGCGCTGCCTCACTTTCTTCCTAGCAACGATTAATTTGTGCGACGATGATCGGTGCGCAGAATGTACCCAACGATAATAGCTCTGCTGCTACATGCCCAGGTAAGCTCCTTCTCCTACATCTCATGTGTTTTCTTCTTCCATGTTTTTTTTTGTTTTTCTTCTTTCTTTGGATGTCTAAATTGTTTCTTTTGGATGTCATCATAGTTGTTTTATTTAAACACTAATTTCAATGTAATGTTACTGTTATGTCATCACAATCATCAAGAGGAAAATATGGTTTTTTTTGGACATTGCAGAAACTGTAAAAAGTCGGGAGAGAAGCGTATCAGTCCTATAATGGGAATAAAACATGATAACTCATATTTTGGCTTTTTATCTATCTTTTAGTCCTATTTAGGACAATTTTTTCCTAATAAAATTCTTGTTCGTAAAATTAACCTTAAAAATACGTTTGCAACGACGGCCGGCATTAGGCAAATAAGAACGTAACATACTAACATGTCTACCATTTTAATTTTTAAGACATGTTCATTTACATGCAACTAGTCCCTGGATTTGGTTTGAGCCGTATGCGGTATGCCTCATTTATTCCCGATGAACAATTGTTAAAAGTAAGGGAAAAAGTGCAAATAAGCTCTCGAAGTAATCATAAAAATGCAAATCACCCCTTTTATAGGAGATTCTGTCTAGTCGTCGCCATTTGAGAAGGTTCTCTGTGGATTTTTTTGATTAATTTTTTTGAGCATCTTCTTCATTAACTATAATTTATTCATACCAAATTTCAGCTAAATATTTAACTGGTAAGGCAGTCAAATTATTTTCTGAAAAATTCTGCGCTGTTTAATTGCGCAGTTATCTTCAAACATTTATTTGACTGCGTTCCCGGATGCATTTTTAGCTGAAATTTGGTATGAGGAAATTAGACTTAATGAAGAAAATTCTCAAAAAAAATCATCAAAAAATTCCATCGATAATCGCTCCAAATTACGACAGCGGGACAGAGCGTTCTATGAAAAAGGCGATTTACTTTTTCGTTATTTCGAGGGTTTATCTGCCTGTTTCGCTAAAAGTAATTATTATTATCAGATATACGCAGACATTCACTAATAATGAAACTCAACCCTTGAACTACCAGAGGTTTAAATAATTAGCAAACATCATTATGAGCTTTTTAGTTATTTGCAGCTTGATACCGAAGTACTTCGTATTTGATTCACGTCAAAATGTCAAATCTAGGTTCCGTTGGCGATTTTAAATTGGTGTCCACATTCTTGGTTTTAAATTTGGATGACAAAATGGAGCTACGCAAAATTCTTGCTTCATATACACAAGCTACATTGCGTGCTCCCAATAAAGTATAGTACTCGTGCTTAGCTTTCTGGCCAATATGGAGCATTTCGCGAAGCTGCCGGAGGGATGCATCTCTGAAATCGTTTCCTTCACTTCGCCGGCCGATGCGTCGGCGCTGTCTGTCATCTCCAAATGCTTCAAATCGGCAACCGAGTCGGACACCGTATGGAAGAAGTTTTTGCCCTCCGATATTGATGAAATCGTCTCAAAATCACCCGCTCCCTTTGATTTGCCACCCACCAAGAAGGAACTTTATATGTTCCTTTCTCATTCCCACATTCTCCTTGCTGGAGGAAAACTGGTAAGTGCATCCTTATACAGTTAACCCCCTGGAGTAACACCCTGCATTTTCAATCTCTGCTTGAATTGCTTTTCTTGAAAACGATGTCTTTCTGTTGTTTTTCTGATACCCTTTGAATTCTTGAAAACAGGGTTTTTCCCTGGATAAAAGAACTGGAAAGAAATGTTTCAGAGTTGCAGGCTCAGAACTTGTTTTCACCCAGAGGAATCATTCAAATAGCATGTATACGGAACCAGAGCTATTATGCTCCAGGTTATTCACTGCACATGTTCTTTAGCTTTAAGAATGACAGGTTATATACTCTTCTTAAATTAACCATTTTTAATATCGGATACAAGGCACTCTGATTTTGCTGTAATCAAGTCAGATGGTAGCGAGTTTGACGTTTTTGGGAGAATCAGCAGTGAAAAGTTATCTGAAAAAACACACTACTCATCCTATTTGGTGTTCATGCCTTCAGCGGAGTCTGCCAGCATCGCCCTCTCATTCTGGGGAGTGTGTAGATTTGCTGACAATGAGGATAGAGTTGTGCCTGAAAGGAGAGTTCGGTTTTATAATTTTCGAGTTCCCGTTGTTAGAGACGATGGATGGTTGGAGGTGGAAATTGGGACCTTTTTCAACGCCGGAGGGAACAGAGGTGATGTTGAATCTTGTTTGCTTAGTGTCTTTATTGGGTGCGGCCGATTCCTTATTGTGCGAAGGCTTGAATTTCGGCCTTATCGTGCGAGGGCTTGAATTTTGGCCAGAAATTATTTTTGGGGATTTTCTAAGGAATTTTTGGAAGTAAAAGCCAACTTCTAGGCTTCTAGGCTTCTAGGCTCTAGCTAGAGATGTGAACTGAATAAAAAAGCAACTTTTCATCTAGAAATACATATAGACTATGTATAGTACATTCTATCTCGATGGGGTATTGGGGTGTATCGATCTACTATCAGGACATGTTCAATAGCATTCTGGTAATTGATTTGAAATCTTATGTAATATTGTGAATTTATTTTGGCCAACGTTTTTTTCTAATTATATTTATTTTTGTCATATCATATATTCATCATTTTGGTCAACACTTTAGTGTAACGATGTTGGACATATAAGCTATGCTTCCACAAATTTGATTAGGTAATTTTATCAAAATTTTGTGATAACTATATGCTGATTGTGTGGCACATGCATTTTGATTATCTCTTTACTAAAAAATTGTTTGATGTGTACATATGTTTTGATAATTTATAAACGGTAATACTTTACTGAATATTCTTTTGTTCTCTAAAAAAAGTATTACGTATTTAGCAAATAATAATCATGTGTCATAAAAGAGGGTGTAGTGGTGTACTATTAAAAAAATCAAACTCTTGATGAAAAACACATATTCTCCAGACATATATCTCCAAACATATATCTAGGAGTAATCAAGTGAGATTTCATTATCTAAAAAAATATCACAATAACACCTTCAACAATCTATTATATCAATGGTTGGCGGATTATATTAGCAGATAACCAGATAGTAAATAGCAAATTAATTTGATTAGCGAATTTGACTAGCGGATTTGTTCAATGGATTGGAGGAAGATGCTTAGTAAATGAATTGTTTACTTGTTGCGGTTAGTAGATAAAAAGACCCAAAAATATATTATAAAAGATGACAAATACGGTACCCAATTAAAAAAATGGGGTAGTGTACTTATCATTCATTTGATTGGTCCAAAGAAATAAAAGTACATATGATATTCAGGATCACATGAAGCGTAGATTTGGAAACTTCTAGTTTGCACTTTAGACACTAATATTATATTCTAAACTAGACGATATACCCGTGCGATGCACGGAAATGTCTACAGTAAAATAGTACTCCGTAGGTTATTTAAAATTATATTTTATATAAAAAATGGTATCATAAAATGTTATAACTTTGATTGTATGAAGAATTGTAAGTAAAGTTAACAAAAAAAATGTATGAATAAATTGTACATGACAATGAAAACGTCATGATAATACAATGTGAAGTGTTTGTTTCGTTAATCATCCCTACGTTTTGTAACATTGGTGAAACTCTTTTTGGTGGTACATGCACAAAAATTATCATAAGTTTTGTAAAACTTCTTTATATATTACACCATTAGTGGTGATCTACACAACTCTCATGATTTCATATTAGAATTTTCTATTTTCTTCTTGAGGTGACCATGTACATGGAAAATTACATTAATTAGGCTCTGCGTAAAAAAATAAATTTTGTAAGATATATGTCCATTTTATGTAAAGATTGCCCATAACTTTTGTTTACCATCATGATTGACAAATGAAATGATGACTTGGAGTGGCCTACTATACATTGAAACTTGACATAGCTTTAACAATTTTACAGGCCCAAAAATATCATTGGGATTAAAACTTTTTGCCCAATACTTTTTTGAAACATAACTTTAAGCCTCTAAAATATTTTACTCATCCGAAAAACAATGATGCAAGTCTCATTACATACTCCATGATCAATGTTTCTCATTAGCATAATAAGAACTCCAATCAATTTAATTACTCTGAATAATGAGACTCCAATCAAGAGATGCTTAAAAATTAAAATGAGGTGATAGATCTAATTTCATAGTAAAAAATAGTTTTGAAGTATTAAAAGAGAAAAAATTACATTAATATTACACCTGAAAAAGTGATGGACAAAAATGTAACTTAGTAACTATTAGTGACTATAATTATGTTCAAAGTTTACAATCTTACATCATAGTAACTACTAATAGTTACTAAGTCACGTTTTTTGTCAATAATTTTTTTATTAGTAATATTTTAGGGATAACTTCATTAAAAACTATTTCCGTTGATAGTTGTTGTAATATTTACTTCGAAAGTTTTGTAGATAAAATTTTTTCGCACTTTTTTATTCCCGATAAAGATTACATTTCAAATGTGAAAGAAACCACATCGGGCTACTTAATTAAGAGATTGGTTTTGAAAGGAGGTTTATTTTAATATTAACTTTTACTTGAAAGTATAAGATTAAAGGAATGTTTAGTCATATTTTGAAAATAACATAATGATAATCATATTTATGAATTTAGTCATTCTTTGAGTTCTATTTAAGGAATGTTTTCTCTTTTCTAATGACCCTCGAATCTTGAAAATAGGGTTTCTTTCTTGAGAAAAGCACATGAAAGAAATGTTTCATAAATCAAACTCTATTTTAAAGGGAATTTTTCAAAATAATACTCCGTATCACTTTTTTTCACTTTTAAAGTTTCTTTCAAAAATAGACTAATCAAAGTTTTTTTTTTCAAAAATAGACCCTGAACCGTAAAATTTTAGCCTCCAACGTAAGGTTAGTGCATATTCTAAAATCCCAACACACATGGAAATAATGAGTTTAAAATAGAATCATCTTTACAAATATAAAAATGTTAGGAAGTGTAAAATATAATCTTTCTAAATATTGAGCACTTTTTTTATAAAAATCCATGATAGCTTTGACTTAATAAAGAAAAGTGTAAATATTGTTAAAAAGTAGAAAATATTATAAAATCAATTAATTAAAAAGTTATCTTTGTAGAATTCTAAAAGTAAAATTAGATTTTAATAAATTAAGAACTCTAAGTAAATATTGATGGAATTCAAAAAATGGAAATTTTTTAATTAGATATAAAAATATAAAATAAGATGAATTTAATGTTTACAAAAATTTTAGAAATTTAAAAATGTGGAAATCTTAAAAGAAAAACTCGAAAAATAAAATACAAAAATTAAAAATAGTTAAAATGTGGGAAAATCGTAAAAGGTCCAAAATATGGTCTTATTAATCTAATGTTTTTAAATAGTTAATCAATAACCTTAAAATTATAAAAAAAAATACTTGAAATAAGATAAAAATGTTTTGAAACTATTAAAAAATATGAATACTAATCAGAAACTTTTATGGTAAAGTAATTATTTTGAAAAAAAAACATATAAAAGAAAATAAAAATCAAATAGATATATAAATTTGAAATCATTCAAAAAATTGATTTAAATTATATTTTTTAAAAAAATAATTTAACCTAAAAGAGTGTAAATTTAAAATAAACTCAGAGAATAAAAATATGAACAAATTAAAATAAAAAACTTTAAAAAAATAAAAAATTGAAAAATAAAGAATATGAATTTTCTAATATATTATTTCTTAAAGTACTTAAACTTTTTAAATTATTACGGATTATTATGATTATTACTATTATTATTAGTTTATTAGTTTTTGTTGCCTATTGTTTCTATGTGTTTCTTTGTGTTTGTAATTATGATTTTTTGTTTCTTATTGTTTCTTTTTGTTTCTAGTTGTTGGTTATATTCATAAATCTAAATTTATCATTTTAGTTGTTTGCATATAAATCTATACAGATATTTTTATTTTAATGATCTAGCAAAGGTAAATAGAATTCTAAATAATAATAAAAAATAACAATAACCAACATGACACAACAATAAACAACACTTTGCAACAAAAAACAACACAATACAACAAAGAGAAACAAAAAGAAAAATAACAAAAAAGATCCACATTTAAATGTCTTTTTCCATATTCGTGATTACAATTACAAATATAATTATACAATATATAAGAGTGTAAAACCAAACTCGTTTTATGGTATACATTTACAAGTAACTGAGAGGATAAAATTAGTCCTTCTGATGCGGCATATCATATCACACTACACTTCAAGGAGAGACCTGCATGATAAAACAATATGTTATTTAAATTAGTTTGGTAATGATAAAAACTTCCAGTCATGATTTTCTTATAAAATCTTTTAATTGAGGACGCAGTAGTTTTTCATTCCAAACTGAGATTGTTTGTATTTCTTGATGCAGTCTTTTGTTATACTTAGCATAATGTTTAACTCTAGAAACTATATTTAATTTCAACCAAAAATAGTTTTTGGGATTCAGATATAAGGGTGTTTATGGCACGATACATGCCGCTAGACAGTCCAAATGGAGCTCAAAACCACGCTGATGAGGATAGTGCTTGAAAATCCTTTGGCTCATTGTTATGTATCCAAAGAAAACAAAAAAATCTTCCTCTTATGATTATTACCAATGAAGGATTGAAACACCTCTCTGGCCTACCAAAGGGATTAATTTTCAATTGCGTGGGGGATTTTTAAAAAGGTGTCCTGTAATGAGGTGATTAGGAACAGGTTATGGTAGGACTAAGGGCTATGGGACTGTGGGGTGATGTGTATCCCCTCCTTAATTTGCTTATAGGCAACAACGAACTCTAATATATGTTCAATAAACCAAAACATACATGAATTCCCCTACTCTTCATGTGGCTATCTTTCTATTTTTTGTTCTTTCACTTTGCTCCTAATTATTTCAACAAGTGCAAGAACCATCAACAGTGTACTATTTAAATGTTTTGGCAAAAATGAGTTCATAGATATTACAAATTCAGCAACAATGTCTAATCTGAATATTTTGATATGAACTCCATTTTTAATTTACTATAACACAGTCACAAACCATCTCACTAATGAACCAACAAGTTGCTTTCAAACTTACAACCTCAAGTTAGATTACTTATGACATAATGCAAAAGTATAGTTTCATTAATCCTACATATGACACAATATATCTTAACCAGAGAAAATATAACAAATATTTTCATATGTAGTCACCCAATTCAAAAATGCTAGAAAGCACAACATAAGGATATGAAGACTTGATACATAAAACATAGCATTGATAACAAACAAAAAGTTCATTTTTTATTGTTACAATTTTAAGATCTACATTTATATTTATAATTCTATAAGGATTACTAGAATAAAGAATGATCTAAAGATAATAATTAAAAGGTCGAAATTGAGAAACTAGCAAGAGGGACCAAGAATCTCTACTTGTGTGCCTAATTGACTCATGTCCTTCCTATTCTAGGAATGAGACTCAACCAAAATTAAAGAAATAGGAGCAGACATTTCAATACCAGGGAAACAAAGAGCTTAATGATTAATAGAAGAATAGTGAAGAAGAATGGAAGATTAACTCACTTGATTGAATAGTGGATTTTTTCTGCAATTCTCATCAAATTTGAAAGATCTCGAGCTTACAATGAACGACATCGAGTCAGCTAGAGCCAACGGTTAGCAGAGCCTGAAACCTACCCGCAATTGATGGTCTTGCTCGACCTCCTTCCCGATAGATTCTAGCTTGCCTTTGAGTTTTCGCGCAATAAGCTAAGGAATCCGTATATTAATCATATCGCATATAAGTATCTTATTGATTTACCCGTGAAAGTGAAATAGAGATAGAGAGAATAGTTCTATAACTCGATCAGTTGGTAATTAATAAACCTGCTATACCTACTGGAGGTTAACTTCGTTCTGCATCAGGATAGTTCTCGCCTGGACATCGGAGGAAGATCCATTCTCTAATTTGCAACCGAAACACATGTAGGCCTCCACTCTTTGTTCCCGGCCTGGAGACCATGGGATCGATCACATGGTTACCTAACGACTCTCGGAGAAGTTAGGCCGAGAAACGAGAAAAGCCGAACTCCGAACCTCTGTCGGCTCTCCTGATTATTTCGACGACATAGCCACCAGAAAGGCCGATTGAGATTATTACTCTACTTATTTTGAACTTGTCTAATAGTGGAATACAAAACTAAAACTGAAAAGAGAAAAGTTAAAAATGAAAAGAGAAAGTAATTGGGACATAAATGATACCGAGTATTAAGGTGGTCTGTACAGGTAATTTCCACTATTTTAAATCCATCTACATCATTTTCTTATTCTTTTTCATGATATTATTAGTCACCTAGATGCTCCACATGTCAACAATATTGAAATTGTGCCGATTTCAATGATCGATGAACTTGCATGAAAACCGAATTAAATCCATAAAAAAAATTGAAGAATAAAAAATGACGTACGAACCGAATTGAAGCACGTGAAGAACAAAAAAAGCTACCTCTTCATCATGAAAGATGCATTCCATTCAATCTGGGTATGAATCATTTTCGTACCACAACTTCCCATATAGAGATGCTTTGATCTTTTTATCATACTCCACAAAACCTTTTTTGAATGAATGTTGTTCTGAATCCACGCATGACTTATACTATATAGAAACTTCTGTTATTATTTCCAGCGATATTGATGTGCCGCTCTAAGAAGTAATTTTTTTTTGAGTTTTGTTAGGAGTACCCCAAAATGTACCCCATTTTTACCCCACCCTATGTGTGATCATAAATGGGGTTACCCGCATGGGTAGCTCAGTTGGTCGAGTGATGCGAAAATTGGACCAAGTGATCAAGATTCGAAACCCGCAGCGGCCGTGTGGAGGTTACGGAACCTGAAATAAGGCTGGACCTCTTGTGCGCACGTGTATAAGGTCTACCGCTGTTTTGCTGACTGAGTCAATGTGATTAACCTCCCCATCATCCTGTCGGGTCGGGGTGGGGGGGGGGGGGCCTTCGGGTTGGGCATTCAACCTTTTGGACCAAATGGTCATAAATGGGGCAATTCATTTAAGTGGTGTCATTTATGACCACACATTAGGGGGTGGGGGTAAAAATGGGGTACATTTTGGGGTACGTTTAGCATTTGTGATTTTTTTATACTACGTACTCCCTATGTTCTGAAAAAGTTCCCCAATTTGATTTTTCTTAGACAATGATAACCAACTTTGACCAATGATATTTTTCTCTACAAAATTATTTTGAATATGAAATTTATATCAATATGTTTGTTATTCAAAATAACTCCACAAAAGTATAAAATTTATATAAAATATATAAAATATTTCCAAGAATAATCAATATGGTGAATCTTTTCGTGACACAAGTGGTATTAGTTACTCTCTCTGTCTACCAATTCATCACCTTGTATGGAGTAATCAAATAGTTCATCCGTATTCAATACTCCGTATTAGATACTATCGTATTAATTATTAAAGCAACTGATTTTTCAGTTTCACTTCTCTGTAGCCTTAGGGTGTGTTTGGGAGTTGATTTTTGGAGAGGAGGGGAGGGAAAAGCATGTGAGGGAAATAAACCCTCTTATTTGTATTTGAGAGTTCAAATAATATAAGGGAAAAGTTTTGGGAGTGTTATAAAATCCTTCTAAACTCTCCAAAACATGGGTTTTCTGATTCCCCCGATTTGAGGGTTTCTAAGTTCTAGCTACGCAAATGACATATTTATCCTCTGAAACTAATACAGTTTTCGCATAAATTTTTTATGAGCTGCTACTCACTCCATTTCTCCACCGTTGAAACCTCTCAAGTCCGAAAACCCTTCTCTTTTGAAGTTTGTAACTCCCAAACAAGAGGAGGGAATCCCTTCCCATCTCCCTCCCCTTCCCTTCGCTCCACTCCCTTCAAAGCCTTCCCCTTCCCTTACCCTCAAAACTCCCAAACACATCCTTAATAATTTAACACACGGGAGTTGCTGAATGCTTTTGGCTCCTACTCCTCATCTTCTTCCCCTCCAAAAGCAACTTCTTGCCGAATTGCAAGTTTTCTTTTGCTATTATTATACTACGGAGTATTAGCAAGTTTCACATTCTTTTGCTAAAATTATCTCTTTCTCCTCTATATAATTTTCAATCACACGATTTTTACTTTATTAATCTACGTGCAAATCAATTTGGTACAAGTTTTGTGGGATTGAGAGTATAATTAACATGATTATGAGCTCCTTAAAATTGGATGACAAAATCGAGCAACCCAAATTCTTGCTGCATATATATACACACACACGCTACATTGCATATATTCATCCCATAAAGTATACCCGTGCTTAGCTTTCTGGCCGATTGGTGTGAGCGACGACCGATATGGACCATTTCGCCAAGCTGCCGGAGGGACGCATCTCTGAAATCGTTTCCTTCACTTCGCCGGCCGATGCATCGGCGCTGTTTGTCATCTCCAAACGCTTCAAATCGGCAACTGAGTCGGACACCGTATGGAAGAAGTTCTTGCCGTCGGATATTGATGACATCATCTCAAAATCATCCACTCCCCCTGTTTTACCAACCACCAAGAAAGAACTTTATATGTTCCTTTCTCATTCCCACATTCTCCTTGATGGAGGCAAAGTGGTACGTGCATCCTTAAACTGGTAAACAGCCCGCACTTAAATTTCTTATCGTAAAAATTATGTCTTTCTGTTGTTTTTTCTGATACCCTTTGAAATCTTGAAAACAGGGGTTTCTTCTTGATAAAAGAACTGGAAAGAAATGTTTTGTAGTTGCAGCCTCAGAGCTTGTTTTCACCAACATGAACGAGTCAAATCACATGTATATGGTACAAAGGCTAATAGGCTCCAGGTTTTTCGATGTCTTGCTTCTACTTATACCTACATATAATTTGTTTTAATAAGTCAACTATTAAATAAACAATTTTTAACATCTGTTCCAAGGGTAACTGAATTGGCTCTACTGGACTCGACGGACGGCCGCATGTTTGACATTTGTGGGAGAATGAGCAGTGAAAAGTTATCTGAAGAAACACACTACTCATCATATTTGGTGTACAGACTATCACCGGAGCATGGCAACATCAACTTCTCATTCCGGGGAGTGTGTAGATTTGTTGACAATGAGGGTAGAGATGTGGCTGAAAGGAGAGTTCAGCCTTCTAATTTGCGAGTTCCTGTCTCCAGAGATGATGGGTGGTTGGAAGTGGAAATTGGGACTTTTTTCAACGTTGGAGGGAACCGCGGTGATGTTGAATCTTGTGTGTGTAGAGTTTTTCTTGAGTCAGGCAAATTGCTCATTGTGCGAGAGATTGAATTTCGGCCTGAAATTATTTTTGGAGGTATGAGCGATTGGGGATTTTCTGAAGAATTCTTGGGAGTAAAAGCTAACTTCTAGCTGGATGGGTGTATATGTACTATTGGGGCATATTTTGGAACTCTATTTTGGTCATCGTTTTACTGTAACGATGTTGGACACATAAGTTACAGCTTCCACAAGTTTGATTTGGTGATTTTATCACAGTTTTGCGAAGTTTTCCATTGTCTCGTTTGATATATGAAAGCAGCGTACTTTTTGGTTGGTAACATGTTCAGGAATTGTAATGCGCATGTTAGTTCATGTGGAAGTAAATAATTATTTTAATTTATGGTAATTTTCTTATTAATTTAATGTACTTATTTAACATATATGCATAAAATATTAGATAAATTCTATGATACTCATAAGGTACCATAGATTTGTCTACATGAACCAATGAGAATGTTGCAGTTGAATTATTTAAGTCTAAATTAAAAATGATATAATGATGTGGATCAATCAAGTGAATGATAGGTACGATACCCCATTTTTTAAATGGGTATCGGAGTTGTCACCAAAATATTAAGGCCTTATTTTATGAATATTACTAAATAAAGACTTAAAGACAAAAAAGTCATCATATACACAAAATCCCAAAAATATGACTAGCAGATGCAGTAACTAACAATTTTAGTGACTCAAATTTGACCAATAGTGACTGTCCGTGCAGTGACCGCCACCGCCACCGCCGTGACTAGTTAATGTAGCGACAACTCGGATCAATGACTGTCGCCGACCCGATTAGTGATTGTCGCCGCCGCCTCGTCCAGTGACTGCTGCCGCCGGTTCATCAGTGACTGCCGCCGCCACAGTGACTCCGACCAAAAGTGACATCGGTCAAAGCGACTCCTGCCAAAAGTGACACGCCTCGGACCTAACTGGACACGTCAACAACCCGCTGTACAGTACGAATAGCCAACCGCAGTCCAACACATCCATACTATACAAGGCGTCTGGGATATCATTCACACGTAGTACATCCATAAACAAACATAATGTAAAATATTCATTGAAGCAGCGGAAACAATATTACAAGTGTTCAAGCCACACTTGGCAAACTTAGGCATACAAGCCCCCAAATAATTATTCAGAAAAATTAATATCCATGAGCATTATTATAATTGTTTTTGAAACTGAAACGGAGGAAGCACGAACCACGTCTATTCTCCTAGATCTTCCCGATGCAACGGGCACCGGTAGCAAGCTCAACTTCTACCTGAAACTGTGAGGTGGCATCCCCCGTGAAAGGGATGTCAGTACTTTGAAGCATTTGAAAAGTACAATGACAACTACACTGAATATAATCAATGTTTCAATTTCTAAGACCCTCAATCTATGGTGATATTATATTATAGGCTATAACCCTTGGTTACCGTGTTTGAAAATATACTTACTTTATATAAAGTCAAGTATTCGGCCCATGGGCCCATATTCATTTAGAATTTACCGTTTTCACTCCCCGTGACCACAAGCCACGATAACCCCATAGGGTTTCTTCAAGCCCCGATTGCATAGCAAGGGCTCGGCCCAACTATGTTTCTATACAACCCTTTAACTCAATTCAACACGTCACGATTGCATGGCAAGGTCTCGGCCCAACTACATTCCCATACAACCCACAATTTCATGGCAAGGGTGCGGCCCAACTACGCTTCCATGAAGATCACAAATACATGGCAAGGGCTCGGCCCAACTACGTTTCCATGCTAATCACGACTACATGGCAAGGGCTCGGCCCAACTATGTTTCCATGGAGATTACATATACATGGCAAGGGATCGACCCAACTATATTTTCATGCAATCCTAGAGTCCGACTCTAACTCATTATCATAGTCCAATTCTCAAGCAAATCCTATGCCTAGAATCCATTCACTTGGGTAGCATTTAAGTCTGCCCTTATCACACCTCAGAGCTCGTACAATTCGACCCATAAAGTATCTCTTAAGACTACTTAAGGCATCATAATTCACAATCCAATCTCTTAGGATTAATTCCATCATTATTCATATAAATCTCCCGACTAGCATTTTAATACTAGTCGGATAAACTTAGAACAACCAAGTTCTTAATTCATAGTCAAACATTTCATTTCAATTGATTCACCAATCAAAAGTATGGTTTATCCTTAATATCAAAAATATCACTTTTATCTATTCATGAATTCCATACATGAAGTAAAAATATATTTTATCACAATATTTCACAATTAATTTCATTATCATATCATCATATTCATAACACATAATCATACACAATTTCTCTAAATTTGTATATCATGCTTCATTTACTCATATGCAATAGTATTTTCATTTAGGCATTATTAATCATTAATAATCCATGAAAATCACGTTTAATACTTTAGGTAATGACGTGCACTTGTCGTGAGGTGCACTCAAAATAAATACAATACAACGAATATACGTAGTATAACGAAGTAAGGTATAACGTAGTATACCTCCAAATCTCTCAAATCTTCTTCGAATGCTTTCAAATCCTTCCTGAATTCCTCTCAAGCGCTGATTGCCGGACTCTAACTTCTTCAATTCAACTCCAAATGCAAAGAAACTCGACCCAACGCCTGATAATCGCAACTTGAGCTAAAATTGAGACTTGCAACACCTTAAAGCTAGGAAAACCATAAAAACCCAACCCGAATACGCATAAAATGCGTGTCTAAATACGGACTTATCAGACTCCCCCACACGCATCACTGTGAAAAGAGGTGGCATACTTGCCGAGGAATGACTATCTGACAGAAATCATGTCTAAACATACCAAATCGCTTATGGGACGAAATGTCAAAGCGTCACCAAACGAACTGAGACCTCCTTCACCGCCAGCTCCTTGTAAGGTAATTAACTTCATTAACGGCGGATCTGACTTATGTGGGCTAGCATATTCTGCAGCAAAGAGACACGCTCGGGGTTATTCCCGAGACAAGTCATTGCAGGTCTGCAGGGTCGAGAAACGTCAAGAGGAGTGGAGAAATGCGTCAATCACTTTTGACGAAACACATATTCCTAACCTGACACAATCTCATCATGACACGTTGGTCATCTCTCTCAGAGTGGCGAATTGCGAAGTCAAACGAGTCCTTGTGGACAATGGAAGCACCGCCAATATTATCACTATGAAAATGCTGAAAGAACTAGGAGTCAAGTAGGAGGACTTGACAGAATCTGGATCGAGCCTGGTCGGATTCAACGGGGAACCAAGCCGAACTTTAGGTAACATATCTTTGCCCGTATATGCCCATGGTCTTAGGAATTTTACTAAGGTATTCAAGACTTCTCAAGGAATCTAGGAGTGGCTGGAAAAGTCGCCGGAGCCACCGGAGTTTTCGCCGGAAAATTCCAAAAGTCGCAAGAGTTCAAACAAAGAGGATAAAAGCTCGCTAGCGTCATTTCGAGGTGAGTGGACGACTATGTATCTTGTAATTCTTGGGTCAAACGTGGGATTACCTAAATAAAATCATAATCATGATTTGAGAAATGATTAAATGGATTAAAATGCATGATTAGTCATGGTGAATATGAATTATGGAAATATTACATGGTTAATGAATAAGAGATTTATTTGTGGATTAATTATGAATATATTATTGTCAAATGTATACAAATGCATACATGGACTATGTATGAGACAACTAGAGTAATCTAGTATGTGAATATGTATAGAAATGTTTAAAAGTGTTTAAACATATGATTGACCATATTGATAATAAAATTAAGTGAAAGTGGCATGATTAATGAGTGAGTAAAGAATTATTAATATTCTTGATGAAGAATAATCATAAATGATTATTTGAGAAAATGACTAAGAAAATTCAAGATGGTATTCTTGTGAAGGATTCACGTATTAAATCATGCAAGTCACTAAAGTAAAACTAGTTTATGAGAACTAAACTAGGGAAATATACAAGCTATAATTAATTAATATAAATGTTTTGTTGACTCATTCGAGAAATGACCAAAGTAATTAAAGTAATATTCTTGTGAAGAATTAAGAAATTCTTAAGTACACGTTGTTAGAGCAAGAATTTGGCAGTTTATGTTGCATTGAATAGGGTTGATCACAGAGGTTAATGAAGCTTAATGATGGTTGTTGAAACGGATTTGTGGTTATTATTATGGTTAATAACGATATTAAGGCAGGAGGTTACTTATTTTGAGCTGACCAGCATTAATGACAAGTTGTGAAACCGTCGGGTCGGAACCGTCAAGTCAAACCGTCCGTAACGGACAACTCGAGCTAGTGGAGCATTTGCAAGGCCTAATGACAATTATTGTAACGTCTTTATGTATTATTAGCCTCTTTAATATGGTCAATGAAGATATTGATTGTAATTGACCGACCTTTATGACAGATTTGAAATCGTCATAAAGCGCGACCAACCCTTCACTAACGTATAAAACCATCATGAGAGCATTAATTATCATTCCTATAAATAGAACTAGACTAAATACCCATGCGATGCACTGGTATATCTAGAGTAAGTAACAACTTGTTTAAAATTATATTTTATTGAAATTGTATATGTTGTTTAATTTTTCCAAATAAAAAAGATAGTAGAGTTTATATGTTGTAAATTTGAATATACAGTAGTAGTTTGTAAGAAAAGGAAAACTTGGATCCAATGAAAAATTGTCAAGTAAGAGTAAAGCAAAAAAAATGATGGATCTGGAGCCTCTGTCTTGCTTATCATCATGACAAATGAAACAATTAATGAGAATTGATTGAGTTGAAATTTGAAAGAAAATTATGTTATCTGACGGGACCACCATTGATAATTCTGGATTCAAAACCTTTTGACCATTATTTTTTAAGATATAACCTTCACCTCCAAAATACAATTACACAACCAAGTAATAAGCATGTGAGACTCATTACATAAGTCACATGACTGGCCAATGTTCCTCATTAGCATAACAGGAATACGAATTGTTAGTCCCAATTTATGGTTCGATATCTCTGATTCATTGATAATGTTCAAAGACTCTTGCATGTGCACTTTAACGGATTCAGTGACAATGTTGCCTTCAAGTGAACATGAGATGTCAAAATCAAACATGTCTTCATTTCTTTAGGTTTGAACGAAATTATATAATTATTGATAATCTCAACAACATCATTTACAGGTATCAAAATAGCTTTTTTGTTAAACATATGACAAACCAACCATATACTTAAACTTGACGGATAAGTGCTAGTAGCAATAATAATTGAAACATAGAACCACCTGAAGTGTTAATAAAAT